GTGTCTGTTATGGGATCTAGGAATGACAATCATGTGACATGACTTGGTTATAAAATTCGAGTTACCTTGGCTCCTAGCATTTTGTTGTTCAGCAAAAAAACAGCACTTCCTTTAATAGTAGCTTTAATGGCAGAGGTGAGCTAGTGCAGGCATTTAGCAGCAGAAGGGTTCAATGTACCACCTGTGCAAAGTCGTCATTCTGGCCACATTTACATTTTTCCTTAAGGGGCGGGAGGAGGGGGAGAAGCATTGATGAAAAGTGCCAAATTGACAGTCTTGGAGACTGAAGTCCCTGCTGCTCACAGACCAGATATGGCATTGACAGCAGCACTGCAAGCTTCTCCTACGCTGACCTCTCAGATGTAACCTGAAGGAAATAAGTCTCTGCCATTCACTCCTTGGTGCCTTTGAAACTGCCAACAAGGGTGCCAGTTGTGGCTTATGTGATGTGTGGACTCAGAGCACCAACTCGTTTCTGATGGGCCATCAGATGGCAGTGACAGGAACATGCATTTGAACCAGTGCCCTAAAGGTGAAATCTTTTGTGTCCCATTAACCACAATCCCTGGCCATCTGTTCCAACTGAGAGACCTTTTGTGATTTTAAAATGTGGACATCCAAGTGTTTGGACACCAAGGGCAGCACTGGTGATGTGCCAAGAGTCTGAGGGCTGCACCTAATTTGCATAGATTTGCATAATGCGCACTTTTATCATATCATTAGGTTTTCAATAAAAAGGAGTTGCTTCTATATTTCAGTGATAAGCTTAGCAAAATACTCAATGTCAGAGTCCCCATAGTGATTTTTTTTATGGTGAACCTACTACTGAGAGGTGTTGCAAAGTTTGGAGAGCCATATTTTAAGAGGAAAATAGCAGCCATCTATCAGACAAAAACACTAATTTGTTATCACAAAAAGGGAAAACGGCAAGTCTTCCTCAGTATCCACACTGTGTCTGCCTCCCTCTGATCTTGAAAGAGGGCCTGGATCTCCAGTGTGAGAATTCAGTGGCCTACCATTCACAGCCCTAATCTCATACATAGGGCTCCTGTCTCCAAGGGAAGTACGGGAGTTTGCATTTGGAGCTTTGGTCATTGGGGAGATGGCTGAAGGTAGCTGTAATTCCTGTTATGGGAAAGAAGGGGAAAATTAGGAAGCTGAGCAAGTTAATGCTTTGGTTACTGGATGGGAGGGGGAAAAGCATGGACTGTTTTTGGACTATGTCTGTCCGTGGCAGAGAAGTAATAACATGATGAAGTCTGAACAAGCTCTCCGCATTGGCAGCTGCTTATTGTTTGTTTGTACAGCAGCACCTAGAGAACACACTCATGATCAGGGCCCTATTGTGTTGAGTGCTGTACAAATATATGGTTCTAGATAGTTCCTGACCCAGTTGGAAACCCTGTCATGTGCTACCAATGAGAGAAGCTTCTTTGGTGTGACCCGTATGAATATGGGACTAGTGCATCAAACTCCCTTACGATGTGGGACAGGCCAATATGTAACATGATAATGTCTAGGCCCATGGTGATGCCAGCTCCAGCTTTGCAGGCAGTTGTGAGATCACAATCAAGATAGCCAGTAAACTGCTGTTTGACTTATTCACTAGTTTGTCTACATCTGTGTAGAACACATTCCCCAGACTCCAGTGATCAGCTGCCAGATGTAATAGAGGGCATAGTATGTCCTTCTCTACAGGCTGACCCATTGCCTACATCAAACTCAACGTTGCCATCGCCTGATGCAGGAGTCATATCCCCACCCTGGTTTTTGCTTTTTGCCCTCAGTAACACAAGCTGAAGATTAGGTGTATTGTGAGTCACAGTTCCAAAAGCAGGTGACTGAGTTGGTGCTGTCAAAAATGAATTCACAAGACTTGATTGTGTTTTATATGCAGTGTGTGTTATTACTAATGACAGCCTGTCTTAGCAAAACCGTGCACAGCGGTAGGCAGTACATAGCATTTATTCTGGAGTTATCCAAAGCAACATGATTGTGTGTTTATTGTACCCCTTTCTTCCAGTGTACCCTAAAACAATAAATTTGGCGACCTCATTGTACAAATTGTATATTCCCAAATCTCTTAAGTCACCACAGAAGTGCAACCACCTCTGTGGTGAAAAGTTGACAGCTGTTTAACAGCACACAGCTTTTCGGATCAGTTTCGTGCAGGAAGAGACAAATACCAGGAGTAAATAAACCTGAAGTAGACATGAAGGGAAACAGAATGTACATACTTTAATTTAGAAATTAACCAGAGCATGAGGGTTAACCTCCCTCTTGTGAAAGTGGCATTGAATTTTGAGTGACTACAGCAGCTCAGGATGGGTTCTGTATCTCACCCAAAAAGATATCACCTCCAGCAGCACAGCGCATCCTCGTTATTACAAAGGCGTTGGCTCAGTACTGGCAGAAGGAAGATGGCTATCTGCTGAATCACTTACACGAGACTGCAGGTTATCTATAATGCTTCCATTTGAAAAGGGTAGCATCTAGCATTTATGTTTGGGGAAGGAATGGAGTAGCAAAGGTATTTTATAATCCAAGAGTGGGGCAAAGAGAATAAATTAAAATTAGATCATAAAACAAATGAGTTCTGTATGTTGCTCCAACATTTCATTCACCCCACGGCGTTGTTCCATGCCATTGTATTCTCCTGGGGCGTTGCTATTTATTGTCGCGAGCACTTGGAGTAAGATTGAGCGCCGGGCTGATGCTGCAGCACTAAATTACCCCACACACATTTAGTAGCATTTTTGGGTAATGGAAGGAATACAACATTTGCTTGGATTTTTTTCTTTTTCAGAGATTGCCAAGAAACTTTTAAATGCCCAGCATTACCTCTCTGTTCAGTAGGGTAGAAGGCTGGATGTACTGTATTGCTTCAGTTTCCAAGAAGCTTTCCCTATGCTCTCTCCATTACCCCTAGTAACTGAGTTGCCAGTCGGATAATATAGCGCGCACACACACACGTATATGCTCGGTTGCTTTGTAGATCAATAATTGTTTGGAGTTTGATCCTTTTTTTTTCTTTTGGGTATGGGAGTTTTGTTTGTTTACGACTGCAGATTTTTACAGACTCCCTCTTATGTTGTTATAGGCTGTAAAATACTAATTTATCTTGCAAAAAGACTAATAAATCATCGTAATCATTAGGGTTAATATGAAATATGAAAATAGTTTAAAGTTTCATTTTGTTTGCTGTTGTATCCTTTTTTTATTAGGCACCAGTAATTTAATTGCGTTGTTTGATTCCTGTTCCTTTTCTAGAGTCTTGGATTATACTGAGTTTCCGTTGAGCCTTTAAATACAGTATTACAATTTTATGCCTAATGAAATAGAATCATAGAACTGGAGGCAACCTCGAGAGGTCATCTAGTCCCATCCCCTGCACTCAAGGCAGGACTAAGTATTATCTAGACCATCCCTGACAAGTGTTTGTCCAACCTGCTCTTAAAAATCCCCAATGATGGAGATTCCACAACCTCCCCTGGAAATTTATTCCAGTGCTTAACCACCCTGACAGTCAGGAAGTTTTTCCTAATGTCCAACCTAAACTGCCCTTGCTGCAATTTAAGCCCATTGCTTCTTGTCCTATCCTCAGAGGTTAAGAACAACAATTTTTCTCTCTCCTCCTTGTAACAACCTTTTATCTACTTGAAAACTGTTATCATGTCCCCTCTCAGTCTTCTCTTCTCCAAACTAAACAAACCCAGTTTTTCTAATCATTCGTCATAGGTCATGTTTTCTAGACCTTTAATCATTTTTGTTGCTCTTCTCTGGACTTTCTCCAATTTGTCCACATCTTTCCTGAAATGTGGCGCCCAGAACTGGATACAGTCCTCTACCTGAGGCCTAATCAGCACGGAATAGAACGGAAGAATTACTTCTCATGTCTTGCTTACAACACTCCTGCTAATACATCCCAGAATGATGGATTTTTTATTTTTTTTTTGCAACAGTGTTAGACTGTTGACTCATATTTTGGTTGTGATCCACTATGACCCCCAGATCCCTTTTCTCAGTACTCCTTCCTAGGCAGTCATTTCCCATTTTGTATGTGTGCAACTGATTGTTCCTTCCGATAAGCAATAAGTATTTCATTAGTATCAAAGAATCCACTAGGTGCTGTATGTTCATAATCAACAGGAAACTAGAAGCCACAGAGCATAACGTATAGAAAGTCCACCTCAGCTTGCTTGCTGATATGAGGCAAGAGCTCGCCCTCAGTACTTGAGTTCTGAAGTTTATATAATACTTACACATTCTTTACTTACCGTAGAGTTGTTCCATAGTAAAATTAAGCATGTGCATAAGTGTTTGCAGGATCAGGGCCTATTTGCTGGGTCAGGTAATAACCTATGTTAATATCGATGTCATGCAGTTACTTTTAAAAGGCAGATAAGCATGTCACTTTTTTATTACCTTGTCTTTTTAGTAACAAAGCCCCCTGAAATTAGCTGCTGATCTTTTCAAATTAAATGTTCAATGTTAATAGGAATACACTGGGGGAGATTTCTTAATGGCAGAAAGATCAAACACCCAGTTCCCACTCACCTTCGGTGAGCGCTGGGTGACGAACTACCCTTTGTGTCTTTGGCAATCTTCCCCTTTGCACTTATCATCCTGGTCTCTCATAGTTGTATATTACACAAACAAACATGCACGTGCACACACACACACAGTAAATAGGCCTTGGAACCCCCTGCAAGGAGAGTAAATAGTGTAATACTTCATACAGAGAAGCTTTGTGCAAGACTTGATTTTTAACCACTAGACTTCATTAAGGAAATGTGTTGTGTTTTATGGCGATTAGGGTTATGATTGTCATAATATTGATTTCAGTCTTGACAACAATGTTCTGGGCACTAGTCAACCATAGATAAAGTCATAGTCCGTGCCCTGAAGCTTTAATGTACAATCTAACAGACAAAGGGTGCGGGAACAGGGAGGTAATAAACAAACAATGTTCTTTCTTGTTTTTTCTTTTTTTGCTACAGACTGTTCCCAAACCCATCGCGCTGGAGCCGTGTTTTGGAAACAGAGCAGCTGTCCTCTCAGTATTTGTGAGGTTGCCTCGAGGAATGGGAGGTATCCCACCACCAGGGCAGTCAGGTGAATGATTGATATTGTGCTTTGACATGTTTCTAATATGTCTAGGTATTTATACTGTGCCCATCACCATGATCTCTGAATCTTACAGATTAATTCAGGAATACCTAAAATTCCCTAGTCAGTGGGAATTTATTTTACAGGGTAGGTAATCTAATTTACTAAGGGTTAGATTCTTCCGTTTGACTCCAGTTGGGTTGAACCTCACTCCTCCAGTCAGCTCTTTGAAATGGGTGGGCTCACTTGCAGAGTAAAGAACTACTCAGTTTTGTTAGGGCGGCATAATTAAGCCCTAAACAAACGGCATGCAGGGTTCGCCAGACAATTTCTGCTAACCGTGAAAATGCTACAGTTGTTATAACTGCGGTTTGATCCCTTTCTTGTCACTGAGCTTGTGCAAGGTAATCACTGGTGAAAATTTAGAGCCATATACTGTGGTGTCTGTCTTTGTTTTCCCCTCAGGGTGTTTTAGAAGAAGTAGGGATACATTTCATCTGAACACCAGTCACTGGGAAAAATACAGGGGCCACAAGTGGCTGGAAGTTTCCAATAGTTACTTTTAAAAGGGCCTTATTTGCCTCCCCGACTCCCCCCACAGAGAAAGGTTCACCTGTCTGACTTTCAAAGGCCAGGCCCTGCTGCTTTCTCTCTTCTGATGGGAGCATGGGGCAGTAGGATGCTGTTCTTCCCACTCCTGTCCTAACACTTTATATGAGGGGAATCAGGTTAGATGCAATTGTTCTCTCTCTCCCACACACAGTCCCCCCAAAACTACAAGCTTTTCCCAGCCCCTCAGCTAATGGTTCCTTTGTGAGGAGCTGAGATATAGATAGCCTCTGGAACAGCTTCTGTTGCCTGCAGCTGGAGGACGGTCAGGACAAGATCTTTGTCTTTAGCAATCAGCAAAGCTAGTAAGTGTGGTGAGGGGGAGGAAGGGACTAGAAGAGGGCATAAATTGCTTTTGAGTTCTAGTTTTGCACAATGGGGGGTAATTAGGGATTTGAATTAAATAGAGGCCAGAGCCAGATCCAGGTAAACGCTTTGGTTTTCTCTCATCTGTGGTTATTTTGGGAGGGTGACTATTTTTCAGACCAGGAAGGTGTGGTTGCAGGGTGCTTGTAAAGCATAATGCACCAGCCATCCCCAAGTGCTTTGAGGAAACTGCTGTTCTTCTGTGGCATGATTACTTGCTTCCAATAAAAGCAGCTTAAATGAATATCCCGGTTTTTATGTTCAGAAGATTATCTTTGGCGGGTGACAGGAAGCAGTTGCTTTGATGGAAATGTACTTTATTGAATAGCTTGCTTCTGAGTACCCCGTCAAGTTTAATCTGCAAATCAAAATGCTGCTTTAAAAATAAATAAATCACTTTTTGGATAAGATTTTTTGCAACTGCAGTCCTTAGACTTTCACTTCTATAACCACCTTGATTTACTACTTCAGGTCTTGCGGTGGCCAGTGCTTTGGTGGACGTTTCACAACAAATGCCAATTGCCTACAAAGAGAAATCAGGAGCAGTACGAAATCGGAAACAACAGCCCCCAGCACAGCCAGGAACCTGTATTTGATGCATGGACATCATAGACTGTCTCTCTAGGGTTTTAAACACCAGTAACACATCGGAGGAGGAGGAGAAAGATTTTACAGTTGTGACACACAAGAGACTAAAAATATATGGGAAACACAACTTCCTTGAATCCAGCCTTTTTTCTCATATACTCGATAGTTGGCTTTGTTTGACAATTGCTCCACTTAAGTTTTACTGACATATGCCACAGGATGGTTCGACTTCTTCTCCCCCGGTTAAAAAAATATATATATTATTTCAGGTCCAGTAACCTCTAATCACCACCACTGAAGGTCAAAGTGAATAAACCAGTAGTACAAACATAAATGACACTCAGGTTTATGCATGGAAAGTGCATTATAGTACATGTATTTATCAAACTGTGCCAAAAGGGGGGGGGGAAGATGCAGCATTTCCAGGTACGTCTCAGCCCTCAACACTAATATTAAACTTCAGCGTTGTTGTCATTTCATATGTAATAATTTCAAAGATTTTGTTTATTCCCACATTATTTAATTAGTGCTTTTTTGTCATTTATGGTCCAGCTTAATATATAGCATCAAGATAGGAAAGAATGAAGCCAAGACTGAATATTGTACATTGCTTACGCTGAGTCCAATATTTACAAAGTTGAATGTCATTTTCTAAAGCATTCGTGGTTCTGTCATCTTAACCCAGTTGAAATACATGCACACAAGTGCCTAGACTTAAGCAGATCTAGGAAGTGAGGGAATTAGTGCATGCAGGTTTTTACATAATTGTGTTCCTATATTTCTGTAAAAATTAATTAGTCACCCAGGGCAATCTCTGCCATTTGTAATGCATCATTTGTAGTCAGAGAAGATGAGGGCATTTTCCCACCCAAGAAACTACTTAATCTGGTAGCAGTATCTTGCGGGGGAAAGTGGAATTGAGTTCCTGTATCTTATGTGAACGCTGCTGTTTTCACCAGCTGGCATAAATGGAAGTTGTGTGTACCTGTGGCCTGCTACCTAATTATTACTTGGTGTTACCTTTTGAGTCCTTTTCTGCCCCTTTGACCTTCCCTGTTCTTGTGGACAAGGACTGCACCCTATCAGTGGTCAGAAGCGTTGCTGTTCAGCACTTCCTCTTAAGGAACTGGAGCGGCTCCTTGAGGCCCCGTTGGTCTGAAGATTTTAATTTTAAAAAACGTAGTAGCTCTGTTTGGCCTCGTGTTTGAATGTTCAATCTTGAATTTCCCCCAGTGACTGTACGGTGTGGGGTAACTGCCTTAGATACGTGAGGGAGACTTATTGCTGATAGGATGCACTCAGTAGTTGTAGAAGAGGGCTCGGTGTCGCAAGGGATTTATTATACTTTCTAACTCTTTTTGCAGTTGAGCCTCAAAATGATGCTGATGAGGTTTATTAGACTCAAAATTCGGCCTACCTTGTCATCATTAGAATCTGACATAAGAGGAGGTTTAGAAATATATTTAGAAAATATATTTCTAAACCTGCAAGTTAAATGTCCTCAGGAGGGGTTGATAAGGAGAAACTTTGTGGAGTGAAAGTTTTTAGTCAACTTTAATGTTAGCTAGGTGCACAGATTGCCTCAGAGTCACCTCCCAAAAGAACTTGCAACTTCCCTTGTTTATAGGGCTGCCCCGGGCTAGACCACACCAGAGAAATAACGCAAGATAAAATTTTCCCCCTGTATATTTAATTACCTCACAAATGCAGATCTAGTATTCATAGACCCTTACCCAATTACCCATCACACTGGGAAAACGAACACTGGCTACAATTCAGGAAAGCTTTTAACCTTATGCTTAAGTCCATACTTATTCAGGACAGCACTTAAGCAGGTGCCTAAAGTTATGCCTATGCTTAGGTAAAGCAATGCTTTGCTAAATGGGGGCCATTAAGTGAAATTATTTTTACTTTAGAAAAAACAAAAAACACATTTCTGCTCCCTTTTAGAGAATTGTCGTATGCTCAGATTGTTGTGTCTCAATTGCTTACAGCAGAAGTGTGGCCAGAATACTCTCAAGAAAGGAGTTAAGGGGCAGATGTTAAAAATAAGGAAGACAAGTGAAATTGATCAATATTAAGTTTAATTGAGCCCAAAACTGTAAATAGAGGAATAAGACTTTATTAATATAAATGAAACAAAAAGATCCTTTAGGCTTTAGCCTTGCTCTGTATCTTAGCTCCATATGGACAAGGGAAAAGAGAACTCTCATACGTATCTCTGCTGCAAGGAGTTTCATCCCAGTTCAAAATAAATTATCGGGGGAAGGAGTGAAGAGAGGAGAGCGGAGGGGCTGGGGAGAAGAAAACAAACTGCAGGTGTTTCATCAGTGTACCAACATCAAAAGTGGATGATTGGGGGTCATAAAGGGGATTCTTTACAAAACAACAACCACCTGTAATTTCATAGGAGAATCTGTAAATAAGTGAAAAATAACACACTGATTTTGCACTTGTAAATAAACTATACAGTAGTGCAGAATGTGGACAGAGTTAGCGTGTATATAAAACAGAAATATCTAATGTATTTTTGATGCATTTTAAATGATGTATGAGTTTTGTCTTAACTTCTTCATATGATGATTAAGTAACTTTCCAGAGCTTTAAAAAGTCATCAGATTAATGCCTGATATCTGGCAGTAGAAAGCAAGGAGGCATAACCTGGCATTTTTATGTATTTAAATACATTCACTTGAACAATAAAAGCAAAGTAGTTTAAAATACAGCTCTTCCATGAGAAAAAAGAACAATTAGAAACAGGTGATATTTATACTTAAAGCAGCCACTATTATGAGATTATTAAGTTGATGGTGTGCTGCCCAAGTCTCTATCATTAAGATTGTGCTAGTGAGTCCATTCCAAATCACTGTTTTCTGGGGTTTTATAACCGTGGGTGAAATTTGGTATACAAGGTCTCACATTGTTCACTGGGAACATTTTTATTCTTTGCAAAGGTTTTTTTTTAGGTGTTATTTTAACTGGAAATGTTGCAACCTCCTGAATGTAGAAAATTCAATTAGTGCCACTGGATACAAAAATACATTAATTGAAACCAATTTTTGTTCACAAACCTGCTTCAGTTTTTTCACCAGAATTTCATTTGGATTTTTTTTTAGCATGCATGATCGGGTGCAGCAGACCCTATAGTCATGTTGGTCAGTAATTTGTATTTAGAGGAAGATTTATGGGTACACCCACCATCAAGTCTCTTTTAAAGCTATCGGCTTAAAAACATACTGTACCAAAAATGCCAATGTACAGATGTGTATGGTGCCTGTGAATTCCCAATATGTAATGTACCAAAATATGGTGATATTGTATCATGAAAGAATGACAGGCCATAAAAGGCGTCTTGTGCCAGATATATAGTTCCTTAAAGGTAGGATGCATACTAAATATTGTTCTTATATGTCATACTCTGTCTGGCAAAACTGTACCAACATATCTATTTACTGGGTTTAGAGTGTTTTCTCAAATGGCTGTTCATCTCGCCAGTCCTAAATTTAGCTTAAATGACCCTTCAGTGAAATCCATGCCCCCCTTCCCCAAGGGACTGAAATAAAACATTAAGGTTTTCACACAAACCAGTGAAGCCAAAGACTGCTGATTCTCAGTCCTGAAGTGACATGAATGTTAGAGATTTTTTTTTTTCTTTTTCATAAAAGCCTAAATTCAGGACTGAGTGTCAAATGGAACTTTGAACCTGCTGGCTTTGGGCTTGCCACAATTCTTTAAATATCGGCTCTGTAAATACATGTGCTCCACCACTGACCTTAAAATAAAAACTGACTGTACATGTCAGGAGCGACTTTTAAACTAAGCCATCTACGTTTCCATAGTAATCTCTGTGGGGTTTTTTAATCTTCAATCTTCATTTCCGAGTGCAACAGTTTGTTTTACAGTGGATTCCTAAAGTAAGCTGGAACATCAGGTTCTGTGAAGAAACATGCATGTTTCATATACAAAGGTGCATCTCCGTCTCCATTTTTGAATATATATGCACTAGCTTTTGGGGTGGAGTGGAGGCAAGAGAAGGATAAGAGATGCTTTTACTTTTCTGACATGCTGTAGATAATTTTAGTCATAACCTTGCTTTCTGTTTTAGTTGCTTGAAATAAGTAAGTTCATCACGTGCCAGTAATGCCTACAATAACACACATGCTGTTTATTCTGCTTCTGGATCAGGATGATGGTAGCCCAATTTACTGTCTTTCTAAAACAATAAACTACCTTTGTGTGTCTTCCAGGTACTAAAGACATTTCCCCCTGTGTTATCCACCCACTCCAAAATGCTCACCAGGAAAAAAAACAAAACCCACACAAATCTATTTGTGGAAGAGTGTAAAATAAATAAGTCCATTTTTTAAAAAAATAAAAAATAAAAATAAAAATAGATTTTATATTATTCTGAAATTTGTGCACACTAAATGTTCTTTACACTAAGATCCTTGAACTAATTCGGTCTTAATTTTTTTTGTTCTGTAGTTATTTACAGTCCTTATCTGTGTTCCGACTCGAGCTTAGTTTGTTAATATGTATAATTTAGTGTTTATTGCATTCATATGTAAATACCTAGTAAGTATTGTAAACTATTTCATTGCTGGGGATTGTGGGTGTTATACATACACACATTTAGGACTGCAGTTTTTTGGTATAATTTTTTGTATTGTAAAATAACAGCTAATTTAAGCAGGAACAAGAGAATTATGGGAAGTCAGTGCATTTTAAACACATATGTGAAGTACATGTAAATAAATAAAAAGTAAATAATGCAAAACATTCTTCTGAAATAAAAAGTAGGAAATCTGGTTAAAATGTCTTTTTATTTTGCGTCGTGCTTTTTTTCTCCCCTTCAAGCAGACATTGGGGTATTTTTTTCAGCTTAGTTTGTAAAGAGATCCTAAACCCATAGCCAGAGGAGGGTTGAGTTCTATGACATACATCCGGGTTGGATGGTTCTCCTTCCCCCTCCTAACTCAGAGCACTTTTCTTGCTCCGCCTTTTCATTGTGTCTTGAGAATTTCAACAGCAATTCCCTATTAGCTGCTCTGCCTGTTGTTCTTTAGATCCTGTTGCCTTAGACAACCATACTTTTTGTGGGCTACAGTGACCCACCAAGTTGGCACGAAGAAAAACCATAGGAGTGGTAGGACAGAGAAGGATACCTCTCTAGGGTTTTCCTAGCAGGGATTTCAAAGCACCAGCCTCGCTCTGATGCGTTAGGTGAGGACCGCAGAGCATTGAGGCCAGGTGGATTTGCAGGAAAGGACAACACCCTTCCATATAGATGACCTCCTTGCCACTCTGCTGTGGATCCCTCATCCGCCTGGGAGTCCAGATCCTACTGGCGTCAGGCTTCTCTGCATTCCCCTGAGACAGTTTAGCATCTTCCAGGCTAGGACACAGATGGAGGTATTACTGTGAGCTCTTGCCTGGATTTCCAGCCTGGGGAATGTCGGCATGGAATAATGTATGCCCCAATCCACCCAAAACTGTCTCCAAAGGGTAAGGAGTGTTATGCTTTTGTCACAGAAATTCTGAGATTCATGTGCGAAGGGCTCCTACCAATATACAGGTCAACTGGAAATGATCTGGGTTTGAGATTCATTTCCTTCCTCAAACTCACTAATCTGGAACATTATTCCTTAGCTTGCCCACAACCTTCACTGTGGTTCTAAATGTTACCTACAGTTACATGGATGGCCTTTGCTTTTTCATTATAAGAACCAGTTGGTAAACTAGAAAGCACTGGGAGTGACAGAGGTGGCAGGAATGCATATCACTGAGTTAGTTACAAGTAACTTGTTGCTTCTGGAGTGAAGGGATGAAGTATCGGTGACGGATTCGGTCACAGAGACCCCCTTGGGACTGCCATCTGATGTGCTGAGCCTACTCTGGCAGCCTATGAACGTGCTGGTGTTATTCATGCCAATGCAGCCTCCAGTTATATCACCAGCAGTCCAGTTCTCCACACAAAGACTAGGGGCCTGGTTCTGATCTCCCAACACTGTAACTCCAGTGACTTCAGTGACTAGTGTGAGTGAGATCAGCATCGAAACCAAGGCAAGGGATTATTGGGGCTATAAGAGGAAGGGCTGAGTCATGGCAGTTGATCATGGGGTGGCGTTGTGAGGAAACTGAAATCAAACCCGTAGACTGACTTTGATAAACAAGCTTCTGCTTCCATGCTATCAGCCACCATAGGTGCTGGAACTAGGGGGGCTGCAGCACCCCTTGGCTTGAAGTGGTTTCCATCATATGCAGGGTTTACAGACCGGTTCAATGGCTCTCAGCACCCCCACTCTACAAATTGTTCCAGCAACCTGGTCAGCAACCCACTGACAATTCAGTCAGGACTGGATTCCACCCGTCATTCGAGATGTGATGGGAGCTGTCAGCAGTCCGGCCAGCAACGTTTCCATTGGCACACTGGCCCAGATCTCTGCTCTTAGCAGAAATCTCTCATGTTAACGAGCTGTAATTCCTCCTTATAAAGAAGGGCTTTGAGCATTTGTCCTGTCCGAGCTACCCCTCCTGCACGGGCCATTAGCTCACAGCAGCTGTCTCTGCGCTCCGAGAGGAAAGATGATGGTTTAATAACCAAACTGAAACAGCTCCACCCATGTTCATGCTTTAGCACTGTTTGCACTGCAGGAGCTGACGGGAAGTTTCTGATTCCCTGTCAATCCTCTTCTTACAGGATCTGGGTGTCAGCTGTCAAATTTTTGTTGTGCTGTGACTGCAGCCAGGGGCCGTCAGTATCGTCCCCATGACATCTTTCTCATCCCCTAGCAAAGTCATTGGGCCACTGCTGTTCCCTTGCATTGGTGGCAGTGTGGTGTAGTAGCTAAGGACCCGGCTTTTGGGGAACTGGGGTTCTAATCCTGGCTCTGCTACTAAATTGCTATGTGACCTGGGGCAAGTCACTTCACCCCTCGGCCCTTCTACTTCCTTTCTCCCACCTTTTATTGGTGGTCTTTATTTTGATTGCAAACCCCTTGGGGCAGGCATTAGATCCACAGATTCCTGGGCCAGAAGGGGACATTGTGATCCTCTCTTCTGACCTCCTGTCTAAAACAGGCCAGAGACCTGCCCCATACTAATTCCTAGAGCAGAGCTTTTAGGAAAACATCCAGGCTTGATGTAAAAATGGCCACTGATGGAGAATCCACTACGACCCTTGGTAAAGTGTTTCAACGATTAATTCCTCTCGCTGTTAAAAAGTTATGTCTTAGCTGCAGGCTGAATTTGTCTGGCTTCACATTCCAGCCATTGGCTCGTGTTCTGCCTTCTCAGCCAGACCGACGAGCCCATTGGTAAAAAGGGACTGATTCAGGGGCCGTGGCAGCCATCAGCTGTACGTTCCCATTCAAATCAAGCAGACATGACCAAAAGTCTGGCAGCCTGGAGCCTCCAGCACTTCTATCCATGGCTCAGAGACCCCTGAGATACTAAGATGGGGACAAATGCACTGGATAAGTAGCTGCAAGTGCAACAAGAATTGGGATTTTGTCATTTACTCCCAACACACCTTCTATTTCCAGCTGTGCCTTATTAGTAAAAAACAGACGCCTCCCTGTACCCACGAGGCAGGTTTGCTCAAAAGTTTCCCACGGTTGCTACCATCAGTTCATGGCTACAGGAGTAAGCGCCAGCAGAAGCCGGAGTATGGATTCATTCAGAGATTCGAAGGGACAGTTGTGATACGTTAGTCTGATGTCCTGTATAACACAAGCCATAGGACTTCCCTGAATTATTTGCTGCTTCAAGTCAAATGGCTGTGGATGAACTAGAGCGGATTCTTCAGGAACAAACCCATCTGGATTTAGAGGGTTCTGGTTTAAAGGTTTTTCCGGTGGTTCATTAGCCACAGTGCTAAAAATGTAAGCCGCATTGCTAGTTTGAATTTGTCTGGCTTCAACTTTCAGCCAGCTCCAAGCAAGACTCATCCCCAGCTAATCAAACAGTAGCACCCAGATGCTTGCTGTTAGATTTGTTATCCCTGCCTTACAGATGGGGAAACCGAGGCACAGGGTGCATAAAATCACTTGCCTAACATCACGCAGCTAGTCTGTGGCAGTGTCTTCCCCCCTTAGACCATCCTAGCCATCCATGCAGCACTAGGAAGGCAGGGCCTGAGGGTGCTTGCTACCTGTCGAGGAGCTCTATTTCATTGCATCTTCCTTTATCTTATAGCACTGTGTGCTTGAATCAGACAAGACGACGCTAAACATGGCTGCTGAGCACGAGTCCTTAATTCAGCACAGTCTCCCGCCCCGCCTCCCCCTAAGACCCTGTTCACCAGCAGGAGCTAAGCAACAACAACAACAACAAAATGCCATTGAGCTTTACGCATGCCTGTGGGGCCAAACATCTGTCCTGTCCCGCTGAAACTGTCTGTGCCGATAAAAGTAAAATCAGCTTTGATTGTGCACTTCGCTCACTCACCCCTTTCAGCACTGACAGCTGCAAGTGTTTTTAGGTTGCAATATATAACAAACCCGCCTCCCCCTCTTTTATTCTGTTAGGGACCCACCGCTGTGCCCAGTGATGGAAGTTGCAGACTGCTGCAGCAAGCTGGGTGTCGCACTCTTCCACCCAGCTACTGAAAATGATTTTTCCCGTGAGCTCTCCTGTCCCAAAACACTGCTGGGCCCGCTCCTCGCTAGGTATCATGGGCCTCCCTGCCCATGGGCCTGGTATTTAAGGAGATGGGCTGCCACTGGTACCTTGTCAGCGGGCATGATGTAAACGCCACGTTTCCAGCCTTCGCTGTGGTCAATTCCGATGTAGTGGACAAGTGGCTCACGAAACGATTTAGCTCAGTGGCTCTCAAACGCTGGGGCGGGAGCGGCTAGCGACCCTGTTTAATGAGGTCGCCAGGGCTGGTGTTAGATTTGCTGAGGCCTGGGGCTGAAGCCAAACGTCCAAGCACGGCCACCCAGGCCAAAGCCAAAGCCTGATGGCTTCAGCCCTGGGAGGCGGGGCTCAGATTACAGCTTCCGCCCACCTAGGTTTAAAGCCCTCAGGCTTCTGCTTTGCCCCCCCTGCCCGGGGCAGAGGAGCTCTGCCTTTGGTCCCCCTTCCCGGGGGTCACAGCATAATTTTTGTTGTCAGAAGGAGGGTCACGGTGCAATGACGTTTGAGAATCCCCTGCATGACACCGTGCCTGCCTGGCGCCTGCTTGACATCACTCAGGGGGTCTTTGCGGGTGTAGGGGCTATGCACAGGGGGTAGATGGGGGGACCTGTGACACACTGCTAAAAGAAATTGGCCCCGGGCTGAGTAAGAGTGGCAACTCATTTGTTCATACAAGTGGCCAAGTTAGCACCCAGCCAGGCCCTTGCTTATCAATCACTAGGTAAAAGGCCACATTGCCTGGCAAGTTGCACATCATTATTCAAAGGCAGGGGATCCAGTTTTAAAAAAAACCCAGCTCAGGTCCCCGTCTCCCCCCTGTTCCCCCAATCATCTGCTTCCCTTCCTGTTGATTGATAGTTAATGAGGATTAACATCTTTCCATCGCTTACACCGGCGCTGGTCTCCAGACTAAACTTCCAGACCCTGCCTTCAAACCTTGAACGGGAGTAGGCTTTTCGTTCCAATTTCGCCTTGATGGACATAGAGTCTAAAGAAACCAATAGGGAAATTCCTGCAGATGCTTGGAGTGTCTGCTCAGGAGCTGTGTTCCTAAAGCCCTTTTTCTTTTCCTGAACCAGAAATCCCTTTGGTGCTCCCCTGCATTCTACTAAAATCATTGCTGACACATGCGATGGTTAACGTGTCCAGCCGTGCTTCCTCGGCTGAG